GGTTTAGGGATAATGGGCTTAAATGGGCAAATATACTCCTTACAGTAATCGGGGGGGAGTTGAGGAGGGAATAGAGGCAGTGCATGATGCGGGCTTTATATAGAATTCCGATTCCAAGCCCGAGCCAGAGCAAGTTGACACTTTTTCTACAAATGAGCCACCATCTGGACCTTTTTGCCCAGGCTTTAAAAAAAAGGTTTCAGAGGGTGACGAAAAGGTTGCAAGGGCATATACGGTGTTACAAGGGATCATAAGCTCTACTGGAAATGTAGGAGGTTTAGGGTGTTGGCTCAGAGTTCAGGTTTTGGGGTCTTGGGACTCAGAGCTGAGACAAGCTGCCGCTTTTAACACTCCAAAGCAGTAGTCCTGATTATCATTGCAAGGGAGGGACCCCTCATTTTGGAAGTTCGCTGTATGTCCCCCACTATTTCTAAGCGCGTGCATAGGGAATCCTCTGTGTGAGGGCCACTGATAATGAGAATCAATTAACAACTTAGCCATGATGGAAAAATCACAAGCAATGGCAGTCAGAATGCCTTTCACTTTTCGTAGCAGCATAGGATGGCCACGAGCAGGGAACTACACACATCAGCAAGCGTTGTAACAGAACATGGGATGGCTTCACAGCTGCAAGCTTAGCAGACGCTTGCCTGGCCCACCATTAATGCGCTCACACAGACACTTTCCTGGCAAGACCGTTCTCCTAACATGTGAAAAACACAATGCGCCGCGTCGATACGTGTATGCGCAGCTTATGCATGGTCACGAATGTGTACGGCCATCGGAGTCGCAGGACAAGTACTACAATTTCCTCGACGAATTCTAGAAAAGATTGAAGCAGTATCATCCTGCTACCGACTCAGGCAACACTACCGTGGCAAAGGTTGGTCAACAACAACAGGCTTAAAGGATCCCACGCCTAGAAGGCCCAACTAAACGTGAAAGTTGTGTCCATTTGAGGTCGTTTGGCTGCGGGATATGACATATGGGCGGGCTGCTTTTGAGAAATGTTGATTGCTGACTTCTGAACGTGCAAGCTCGAACATGCAGCGGGTGACCATGCTGCACTTGGGGCAGCTGTCGTGCTTCGCGAACACGAAGTTCTTATGGTTCACACCTTGCTGGACAATCCCATCCCGGTACTCTCTGAAGTAAATATCCCTACGGATCCGAAACAGTCCTATCTAGGAAGAACTTAAATTATCCAAGTGAAATGGTTGTTCTGTCGCAGCAAACCCTGACCTGCTGGCTCCCACTGACTTGAAAGACTGCAGTTCCCTACTTGGGACTTTCAACTCCGATTCCTTTTACCGGAACATAAGCCAGGGCATGTTGGTTGCACGGGGATTGTACCACATGTCGGAGCGGACTCATCACTTCTCAGAACATCAAGGACATCTGTGCACTGGCATTCAAGGATTGCCTTGTTTCTACGTACTTGTAGATCGGAAGGAAATAGTTTTTCGCACTCTCCAGGAATTGCGGAAAACACAAAACCCTTGTGCAAAAGTGCGGACGCACCCTTCCCCCGCTCACTCCCTCCTGCTGGCTACGTTGCTTATCAGTCTCCAGGAACGAATTCTTTCTCCGAGCACGATGCAAGCGGTAGATTCTCAACATCTGAGGTCATGAGGTATCAGGATCAAACTTGTGCAGCTTTGCAAAGGAGAAGCATATGGCAAGCATGCGAAGGGCTCAGGGTCTATCACTCCACCATCCTGATCGTTGTGTCGTCATGCACACGTAGGAACTACAGTATGTGCGTCCGCTTTCCGAGTTATGGTAAGGGCCTGGATAATTATCTATATCTTTTTAAGGTCCATTGGAGGCCTTCCGTATGGGTTCTCGAAGATCATCGCGCAAATCTCAACCATAAGTTTTGGTATTTCGCAGGTCACTTCGAAACCATACGCAAGAGAACCGCCCATGAACTATTAGCTGATCTTCGTACTCGAACTTGGGGAAGGCTTTTTAATCAGTCACCACGACTCCCTCTATGCAAGATGCAGGTACATCCGCAGCGGATAGGAGTAGTAGAAAGGCATCAACGACTCCTGTGCCTCTTCCTTGTAAGCCTACTGCCGGCCGCTAGAACACTTAAAGTTTCATCCACCCCCCAATTCAACTTGCAATGCTATGATAAACCAATAATAATAGTAATGGTGGTACTACTGAGGTTAAAAATGAGAATAATAGTAGGCATAAGAACAATAATGAAAACAGTAATAGTAAGGAAGATAATAAAAATAATAATACAAAAAAAGAAGTAGTAGTAGTCATAATAATGATAAATAGTAGTTTCCATTTGATTTTCCATTATCCCTACACAAACCCAATATAACCCCCCTAAACCCAAGGATCTACCCTAAACCCTAAACTCTAAACCCTAAACCCTAAACCCCAATAGTAGTAAAATTACCCCATATATTATGGTAGTTTCCATTTTCTTTTCCATCATCCCCAATATAACCCCAGTAGGTCAGTGGTAAAAATGCTGAGGCCCCAGGCATTCAAAGCCTATATAACCCCATTATAGTAGTTTCCATTTTCTTTTCCAGTAACCCTATATAACCCCAATATCATAACCCTATATATTTTCCCTATAATCCCTGTAGTTTCCATTTTTTCCATTCTCCCAATATATTATCCCAATATAATCCCTATTTATATAACCCCTTATATTACCTAAACCTTTACTGAGGCCCCAGGCATTCAAAGTTCGGGCACTGCCAGTCCTCCGGGTTCGAGCCGCCTGCACAAAAGGGAAGACGTTGCCATCCTAAGACCCATCGGAATGTAGATATGGGGGGGTTAGGGGGTTAGGGGTTTAAGGGTTTAGTGGTTTAGGGGTTTAGGGGGTTTAGGGTTTAGGGATTTAGGGGTTCAGGGTTTAGGGTTTAGGGTGGCCTTCCCAAAAATTAGGGGTACTTTGTAAGGGGTTTATAGGGGAGATATAAGGGATATATGCGTCAGCATAGGGGAGGGGGGAGGTTCCCAAAATTAGGGTTGAGGGTTTAGGGTTTAGGGGTTTCTCAAAAACTAGGAGTACCTTGAAAGGGGCTTCTAGGGGACATATAGAGAATATGTAGGGATATGTAGAGCTTAGGGTTCCCAAAATTAAGGGTACCTTTACAGGGATTTATAGGGGATATATAGACCTATATAAGGTTAAAGGTTATGTATAGGGTTTAGGGTCTCCCTAAATTAGGGGTATCATTTTGGGGGTCCCCATACAAAAGGATTACAGTATTTTGAGGTTTACATTGGGGATGACTACGACGATCACGACCAATCACGATACTTCTGCGTGCGCGTCGCACTAAGAAGGACAGCCATGTGGATCCATATTTCAATGGGGCGTGTGCATGTGTGGAAAGCAGCAGCGCACAATCAAACGGCTGACCGCTTGAGCAAAGTGACAGCTTGTCTCCCGAAATTTGCAAAAAGTCGAGGCCACGAAATAGGAAGACCTTGCATTGCCGGGTTTGGCTTCCAGGGATTTAGGAAATTGACACCTCCACAGTCGCGGCACCAACGGCACCAATAGAAAAAGAACATGCTGACAGTCATGATGGCACGGTTGATGCCAAAGCAACTAGCATCACTACTACCAGCACAAATTTCATTGATGAAGCTAACTGGTAGCCATACCTCGAACCCAACAGGCCTCCAACCAGATTGGCCCCTGGCGGCTTTGCGACGCCGCACTGTGGGCAGTTTTGATGCTTGCCCTCAGACAAATGCGGTCAATTGAGGACAAGTCATGAAGCCATGCAAGGACATCTTTCGCCAATAGCCGTAATGACATCTTAGTCATCGTAATGTTGGTGTCCTGACTGTGACAGAAATTGTTGCTGTGAAGGAGCTCTCATTCTGGCGGTCGCACTACAGCAAACGAAGCCTAGAACCAGACTACAATCAATTGCAACATGGCTACATGTCTCAACAAAAGTCCCTCGCACATGTGGGACAGGGAAGTGGTGCCCTTTGCCTCACTGGGCTACAGCTGTCAAGAACGGCATTATGAGGTAGCTGGTATGAATCTCGGGTGATTGTAGGTGTTCTTCTTTGCATCAAGCCAGACAAGGTCCAGAAATACAGTTGTGCGCAATGCGTTCTGCCATCCCCCGCCTCCCCCATGGTCTTAAGCAATTACAGGAGGGGAGTTACCATGTGGGGACCTTACATAAGCCTTATATACTCCCTATATAACTCTCCATGGTCCCTATATACCCCTTATATACCCATTATACAAGCTCCCCGCATTGGAAACTCCCCTCCTGTAGTTGGTTCTAACCATGGTATCCCCCGCCAGCCCCAGCCTTCGCCATATCATCGGGGTTCGGGGGTTGGTTCGGTTCTCTCTCACTCATCTGCTCACGAACCTCCATACAATTATCTCCACAAGTCTTCATGACTCGATATCGTCTCTGTACTTCTTCCTTTTGGAATCTCTTTACATATTTTCTATACAGTTCCCTCACAATTCTTTCCACTACATTTCCTTCAGTAAAATGCGTAATCATATAGGTAAGGGCTTCCGAAAAAAAAATGTTGGTCACTTTTCGAGAGTACCTATGATGAGGCTTGTAGTATATGAGATATATCGGGATATATACACAGCCGGTCCCCCTATAAATGAACCTCAGAGGGGGTTCCTGTCTATATTGGATCCTCTTTTCACAAACACAGCCTGAGGCCCCAGCAAAAACCATGCGGTGGCTGTTGACGCAGTCCTTGTTCGGGCCTAAGCTCAAGCACATAAGCCATCATGACAAATTATTGGGTCCTTGTTGTACTGAGGTTTAGGACTGCAATGATGTCAGCAACTGAGGAAGACAGCTTAAGGACGTTGGTGGACCTGGCCAGCTAGGGGTGGTCATCAATGCTTTTTGTTGCTGTAGCTGACGGCAAGCTTCTCCTTCTCTATCCTGAAGCTGTGCTGAAGCTATGCCAAAGCTAGGACGATGTCCTACAACCTGCATTCGCGGTATCGACGCTTATGCCTGCCCACCCTCCTGGTCAGAAGTCCACAAGGTCAGGTTGTCACGCAAAAGCCTGAGGTCTCCAACACGGATGTCAAACACGTGAAGATGCTCAAAATGTAGGCAACACCTGACAACAACAAAAAGTTAAAGCTCCGAACTGGGGGGGTGCGAGGAGCTGCATGATCAGCGTCGAGTCTTTGTAGGAGTCCTCTGCCACGTTGTCCAACTCTGCAATAGCATCCTCGAAGGCGGTGCGTGCCATCTTGCAGGCATCATCCGGGTTGCCCAGCACCTCGTACCTGAGATGTTGTGTAGTCAACATGCCATCAACCTCATGTCCAGCAGACAGCTAACACGATGTCAGCAAAGGCGCATGAACACGGAGTAGTTCAGGGCCAAGCCCAAGCGAATTGGATGGGTCACCGCCAGGTCTTTCTTGGCAATGTCCTGGAAGGCACTGCTACATCACATTTGCTAAGCTGCTAAGCCCTTAGCAGCATCAGGGATGTCCCTTAGGGTCCTCTGCCTCTTGATAGGCTTGGCGAGCCTTCTCCGCCGCACTGCTCTTGGCATCACCATCGCGGAACTCAGCAATGTAGCGGTAGTAGTCCGCCTTCATCTTTTGGTAAAAGACCTTGGACTCACCACTGCTGGCCTTGGCGATCAGCTTGCCATCCAGAAGGGCAAGGATGGTATCGCAGATGGACTGCAGCTCATCCTAGCATGCAATAAAGTCAGTCTTTGTAGCAGGCCAGTGCCCTCTCTAACCCCAGACGACACAACAGACATCAGCCTCTCGATCAAGAAGCCGGTCCTCAACCTTCTTGCAGTACTCCTTGGCGTAGGCGGCATTCTCCGTGTTGCCCTTCGTGGTCTCCTTCTGCATGACGCTAGTGATGATGCGCCACGCGGCACGACGGGAGCCGACAGTGTTCTTGTAGGCCACGGACAGGAGGTTGCGCTCCTCAACAGACAGCTCTGAGTCCGCGTTGCCAACGTTCTTCATGTGGTCAGCCATCTCGTCGTAGCGCTCGGCCTGCTCTGCAAGCTTAGCGAAGTACACGTCCTTCTCACGAGGAGGCATGGCTGCAAAAGGCCTTGGGAACAAGGTTTAGCAGCAGCAAGTTGGACAAAAGCTCAGTGGCTTGAGAAAGGCTTCACGCATCCGGCGACCAATCTGCATGGATGCAAAAGCATTGCAGATCAGAGAAGTGCCGGGTGCCAATTGTTGCAACAATACTTTGCATGCAAGCAGGCAGCAGCCGCACAACGAAATGCTTGTCCGCAAAAGGACATGCGGGGAGGGTCCAACGATCATGATAATTTTGCAACTGGGAATCACGTCTACAGTGCAGTAACAGCAACAGTAGCAACAGCGTCACTGCAGCCAGCTAACATCATGTCAGCAATTCCCCTGCGCATCTTTATTATGCTGCATCGGTCACCAGCAACATGGGCACGCAGCCCTGAAGTGCAAGGTAGTGACAGCACGAATGATAACGACAACAATAATATTAGGCACAATGAAAGTAATAATATGACTAACAGTAACAACAATACTCACAATACTCACATGCGTACTAGTCATTCTGACAATACTGGTAAGAGTAAGACTGCCTGTAACAAAGACGACTCATAGCCAGGGGTAACACTCTGAAATGAATTCACCACAATTATGCGAAACGATGGCTTGCACCCCACCCATCTTATGTTAACTCAGTTCAAGCTCCCTAACAGCAACATTATCCTAACCCTCAAAAGCCCCAGAATGGTAGCTTTCGCTTCATTATCCAATTAATGTTCCCTTTGACTATCCATTCCCTATAGATCCCTTTGTATCCCTATAACCCCCTTGAAGGGACCCAGGGCTTCCATTTCATTTTCCATTCTCTGTCCATGTGAATCTCCATTATACCAAAGCCTTCGATAGTAAGCTCCCTGCACGCCCAATCCTTCAGGTTCAGCTGTATCCCCGACATTTGCGCCAAAGTGGCCATCTTCAGTAGCTAGTCTGCGAGGAGTTATGGTGGTTTCTTTCTCAAATTGTTGTATCACAAGCTGTGTTGTTTCTGCAGGGACATGGAGGTTTAATAATATGGCAGGCACCTCGGGAGATATAAAGGGCTTTGCAGCAAGGAGCACCTGATTGAAGAAACATCTCTGTGGGCGTATGCATGGGATTTTGTAAGCGCACAAGGCAACCTGAGGATGTATAGGGAGCCTGGCTTAGGACTTTTGCAAATGAATGCCTCTCGAATCCTCAAACGGTCTTGCAAACCACACTGCCTTTGAAGATTGAAGACTGGTATACTTAGCTCCTTCAGGGGTCCAACCGGCTGGTACCGCTGTTTTTGTTTGGGGGGGGTGCGCAGCGGTGACTGAAGTACCGTAGATGGAGGAAATCTTGCGCCACCTTGGTCCCGAATACTTTACTTCCTGGGGTCTAGGGTCTGTATGGTGGAACTTTGTGGTCTTTGCTACTATATCTCAAAAAGTGCTACTGCTCCTTCTCCAACTTACCAGTACCTACCCCAAGACAAAATCATCCTTGCCCCCCCCTGTGCAAAGTATCGACTACCCCGAATCTTACCTTCTGCCACTGTTGCCAGCATTGCCTTTGGCGTCACCCAAGCTGCTGTATCGACAGAAGAAATTTCAAGTAGACTCCAGAGAAAGGTTTTATAATATGCTCTCTTTGGGGTTTCCCAAGAACATGGCTGTACAGAACTACAATTAATTTCGGGGTAAAACCTTACCTTTCAAGCAGAACCCTGAGGCATCCACGAAGCTCTTCATCTGTGGATCTGAGGAGGAGCAAACAGGGAACACATGCATCCAAGTCTGTGTTTTTTTCCTGAAGCGCTCTTTTCGTCCGAGTGGGATGTATTTAGGGGGCTTATCATGGAAGTTTAAGGTTTTGAGCTTACAATAGGAGACATGTCTGGCCGTCAAGAACTTGTGCTTCAATTCTATGTCTCCTAGATTCTCTGGTGTTTGGCACAGGATTTCTTGCTAAATTGGATACAGTGACAGGAAGGTCATGAATCCTTCTTACATCGTTGCGCGCTTTCTTGTTGCCATCACGTTCTCAAAAAAAACCTGACGGACAGTATTGTGCACGTGCCCAAGGACATTGCACGACTGGAAAAGCGATCAACATCTTCTTGGGGTATACTAACACTGTATACTGTTGTCATTGGTATGGGGACTTCCAAAATAGGGACCCAGGCGTTTGTAGAACCCCCCATACCCAAAGTCCTGAAACGATCTTATGAGAATATTCCACAAGAACACCTCGTTTTACGACACCCTTCCAATCCGTCAGCCCTAAACCGCAAACTCCCCAGAAAATCAAAAAGAAGTTTGAGAATTCCTAAGCCCCAAACCCTCGCTAGAAAAACCACTCCAGCTCAGGTCTTTACCCATGCCACCGAAGCCGGTACCACCCGAAGAGGTCCACGTGGTCTTGGCTCCACCGCCACCGGTCCCGGCACTCTGCACCTGTTTGGGTCCTCTTGTGGGGTCCTTTAGAATAGTGTCTATGCTGTGTAGATATTAGGTAAACAAATTTGAGAACTATCGGCTAAAGTGGCCAAGAGGTTCATAAGCATCGGATTTGCATGTTGTACCTTCCTGGTTTCCAAGTTGCACCCCCGTCTGTTTACAAAAACAATGTTGCGAGTCCTCAAATAAACACTTTCCAGATGTGCGGCATCCGTGTTGGCAGTTTTTTGGGCAGTGGCTGCATGCAGTAGATGCAGGTTGTCATAAGTCTGCATGCCTTTTCGATTTGCAATTCTGCTGCGATTTGTTTCTGAGTTTCTTGTGGAGATCTACAGAGAGTACATTTTTGAAGTGCTCCTGTATGAGATGCCATTCCAAGCTTTTAGCTAAAGATCTAAGGTTTACATCTGGATTTCAACGGACTAACTTTCAGGGGCATCCTACTCGAACTCCGGACAAACCTCTCTGGAGGTTCTGATGTACCTTCTGCAGGCAAGCTCAAGTTTAGCCGGGCGCCCACCAAGAACCTTTTGCCGCTTATGCACTTTGTCAAGTTATATAGACATCTACAATACTCCTGACAAACTTCTGATGACCTTCATGATACATGTTCTCTTTGATTTTCTACCCAAGTGCTACCTGAAACAACAGAAAAACTCAGACACAACCGACAACCAGTACAACAGTTTCTGCTGTTACTACTTCTTCTCATACTACATCTTCTAGTGATATTACTAGAACAACAGCTACTACAACCACTAGCAGTAGCAGATTCGTAGTCTGGCAGTCTGGCAACCGCAAAACCCATCGAAGCGCAATGCTGAGGTCCGCACATAAGCAGGCTTCTGCCTCAGCCCGGGATGGTTGATGCTAGATCGTGTCAAGGATCTGCAAGATCTATAGCAAAGACAAAGCAGGACCCTCGCCGCACACAACCACAGGAACAATCCCCATGTTTTTGAGACGCACGCACACACTTCCTCGAATTCGGCTTGTTGCTACTCAAGAATGTGGTGCAAGCAGTGGCCCACGTCAGTCGTTGTGTGAATGAGTGAGTGATGTGGAGGAGACCTCTACACTAAAAACGTGAGCATCACAACACCCTGGGTTGTGAAGCCGACAACTCATGCGAATCTACCAGATCTACCGCACCGCTAAGGCCTCGATTATCTCAACACTCCCCTGCCAAATCAAAAAGTATGACTCCAACACTGTATGCGTTGTAGATGATACATATGACAGCTGTGGGTCTCTGTGTTGCAGGACATTGCGTTGCATGCTCGCAGCTCCACCCGTAGGTGACATCTGTCAGCAAGAGTACTATCAGGCCACTCTGTCGGAATTGGGAGCTGCCTGCTAGCGATCTCTGCTTGCTACTTTCCGCCCTGCATGAACCACCCCAGCGTGCTGGCTGGCTGAGGCGGGATTAACCGAAGGGCAGAAGCAAGCGAAACAGTAGGCCACTGTCTATAAAGCTAGATCAATTCAAAACGGCTAGTAGCATCCAGGCCACGTGGACAAACTGGTGCAAAGACTGTCATTTGCCCAAAAACTGCGGCCACAGTGCTGATCAACCTCCTTACCCTCCCATTTCACAGCCACACCGCAACCATCTTGAACGAATCTTTCCTAACCCTACCACCAGTACTGACACTGCAACTACCACTACCACTAGTACCACACCTGCTACCACACCTGCTACCACAACTACCGCAACAACAACAACAACAACAACAACAACCACCACCACCACCACCACCACCACCACCACCACCACCACCACCACTCCAACTGCGACCACTACAGCTTCTACTACTTGTAACTTTACTGCGTCTTCTTCTGCTACCTGCTACTCCTCCTCCTGCTGCTCCTACTACTGCTACTACTACCACCAACCAGCAGCACCATCATCACTAGCAGCAGCAGCACCACCGCCAGCAGCACTAGCAGCAGCAGTGCCAGCGCAAGCGCCAGCGCCACCGCCGCCACCAACACCAGCACCTCCGCCGCCGTGACTGCCTACGTACACCACCGCGTCGACCATGACAGGCGACGATGACGGCGGAACTGAACAGCTTTTCAGATGCCCTTTGCGCAGCTCAATCACAACGCATTTCAAAGAAGTTCTAGACAGGGACATGCGAGGCTGTCAAATCATTCTCTTCTGTCTTCCCCTTCTTGTGCAATACGGTTGCCCTAAGCGGTCCTAACTTTATGAGCAGGCCCTGATGTTGCCGAACACGGATCATCCCTTATGACCGACCTGGCCTATCGCGTGTGGAGCAAAAACCGAAGTAGGAAACAGTGGTCTCAAAAAGTGAAGGTCTCATGAGTCTCATGAGGTATCGACACGATTGCCCAACTTAGGAAACCTCGGCTTCCTTCCGCTGGGCTCCCCGGCGCTCCACACTTAGGGCAGCTGCTTTTGCTGGCGAAGACGCAGTTCTTGGCGTTGACGCACCTTGGACACAGAGCTAGCGGGCTTCTTACAACAGAGATCTCATGTTGTGGCCGTCTGCATAAGAGTACTGGCATATTTGAATTTTGAAGTACACAGGGGGCTCCCGTTTTCACCTAGTTCCGAGGCCTTTCTGAGGAGCGAGGGAAGGAATCTATTTTCTGAAGCATTCCAGTACTCCCCAAGAGTCCCACATCCTTGATGGAGAAAGCCATGTACAACTAAGCACACCTGAAGTATGTTGCGGATACCCTCCAACCAGCGTATGTTCTCGAACAGAGAAAGGAAAGGATTCGGGAGCTTTCCTGACCCAGCCGGGTTTACACAAAGGCTCATCCAAGCCAGTCATGAACATCCAATAAACTCAAAGAAGCCCCTGATGCGTAGACACCTGTTTTGAAGAAGCAGCATGCAACCTTCCACGTGTAAGTGCCGCAGTACCTGCTGAAGCAGCACAAGATTTCTCACATATGCTAGGCGGTTCAAGCCTTGAATGAACAATGTCCATAAACCTAGCATTTCGTTGAGCCAGCAACTGACTTTCAAGCACAGAAGCAAACAAATCTCTTCCCCCAAGTAAGGCAATTTGTGTTAGCATTTTCTCCGAGTAAGGTGGAAAACAGACTCAGGATTCAGGGTCATATCAAGAAGCACCAACAACTGGGAACCACGAACGCCTCAGTGTACATGACACACATACCCGACTCCTTCTCGAGATGCTTCTCAAGAGTTGAGCCCTTTATGCCGCATAGTGCGACCTTGAGACGAAGCTAAGTGCGCATTTGTGCCACAACTCTGGCAATTCCATTTCGGAACCATGCCTCCCCGTCATAGCTCTTTTTAACATCACACATGCTGCCCTAAAAATGGATGTCTACAAAAACTGTAAACCTGAGCTTGGAGCGTCTGATTCGGACAGAGCCAATCCCCGATGGACGTGGCGCCCCTGACAGGTCAACAAAGCCAGCAGGTAGCCTAGCGTTTGGGGGTTATCTGGGTGGTTGTCAACATTTGGTTTTTTGGGGTCCCAGCGTACTTAGGGCACCCAAAAAAGGACCGTAATTTTGACAACCTATCGCCTAATTTGGGGTGGGATGCCCTGCAATGAACAATAGAGATATACACATATATATATAGTATATGCATATATATATATATGCGACATCTACACGGACAACTTTGCATTGACAAGTGACGAGTCTCTTGTTGGTGTGATGACACCTTAGTCTAGGGCCACATGCAGACTGCAGGCAGCCTACGGTATTTTGAATGACACGTTAGTAAGCACCGTAGTACTGTTGCCGGGTGGCTGCTTGGGACCTTGAGGTGTGCAAGTGCAAAGGGACCCTGCTTTCCATAAACTCCCGAAATTTGCTACGTTAAAGGGACAAGCTGTTGAGAGCTACACTTCCCTGCCAGCTTGCTCATAATACCTACCTCTGGTTGGCAAGGAATCAAGGAATCGATCCTTATAGCTGTCCCCTGTACCAGAGGTAAGCCCAAGCCCCCAAGCCATCCCTTTCATGGGCGCTCTTTTTTGGGGTAGCTTGGCACATCAGCTTCTCCGGCGGCAGAAATACAACACCACGCAGCACTGCCACAGCCTCAGTGCTCTGCAGATACGGACATATGAGCTTTAGTCTGAACTCTTAGTGGGCCCCTTAATAACCCTAGGTTTTGGGGTTTACGGTCTAAACTCCTGGTATCCCCCTTCATAAATGGAAACTACTATAGTATATTGGGGTTATACACGGAGAATGGACAAGAAAATGGAAACTACAATATTATCATAGGTTAGATATATGCTGTATCTAAACTCCTAGTATCCGCCTTAATAAATCCAAATATAGCCCCCTAAATAACACCCCTGAAGGAGTTTGGACTATAGCTCATATAGGGATTCTGTGATTCTTACATGAGCGCCGGTTTTTACTTATTACCTGGGCCTTATTGCACACTGAAATGAAAACAAGATGAACAATGAAATGGGAATTGGATACTGCCTCCACCAAGTAACAGCTACGCAATCATAATCTTGTAGTTGTTTTATATGCGCGCATTTCTAGCACCTCATACCAACCCTACTGCAGACTGTTAACGGGTGGGCAGGACCTGATGAAGACTTCATGTCTCAAAACAAGGGTCCACCATGCCGTTGCATGTTAATTTGGCGCAGTGTACAACCTAAACTCCAAACCTTATACGTCCATATATATATATATTTATATTTATTTATTTATGTATTTATTTACACCCCTATACAATCCCTGTAAAGCCCTTAGCTGGGGCAGGGTGGAATGGATCTTTCCATCAATCCGCATATGATCTCTTTCAGTCCCTACATGTCCTTGTCCTTCATGCCCCGCCAACCGGTAAGTGAATTTGCTGGCCCTGGTGTTGGGGCACGAAAATTTCAACAATAGTGTCGGAAGCTTGAATACTTAGGAGTAGTATCTCTACAGTCCGTATATAACTTAAATTAAAAGATCCTTCTATAAGCCCTGCATAGTCTATGTGAGCAGCCGCCTCTGTCTACGTTAGAGAGTAGAAGACTAGGCGCCTTGGTATTGTTGCATCTGGGTTCTGCGTTCCTCTGGGAACTAAATAGGAGCTGTGGATTGAACGAGATAGGCCACAGTTTACTTTGCAGTACAAGCCCAGCATATGTCGAACGAGATCAGGTAATTTTGTCACAAAGTACAATACAAGAATAAAATAGTCCCCAACTGCGCCGCTGTTTTAATAATCCCTGAAGCCTAACCCTAAGAACCTTAAGCGACCAGAGCAAGTTCAAGGAAACACATAGATTTACACAGGTGCGAGATGCTGGAAGCAGCGTACTGCTGCGATGCCACATGATTGGAAAAGCATGTCAGAGTTCAAGATGCAAGCACATGACGAAGCTGGGTTGGCAAGACGGAGGCCTGCATCCGAACTTCAGGCCTACATACCCTAAACCCAGGACCAGGACACCCACGAGACCCCAAATCCAATTCTAAAGCCTCAAGTTTGAGGTTCGGACACAGCGAAACAAAGAAGAGCGGCTTTCAAGGCCCACATACCTGGGTCGCTTCAAACCAAGGAGGTCTTTGACCGTTTCTAGAGTGGCTTTGTATGCTTTTGGCAGGGACGTCACCCATTGCCTTCCCAGTTGGGTCCGAAAAGCGTCGCTTAGGGTGCCCCCGAAGCACTGAAAGCTTGAACTGCAACGCGTATCCACTATTGCTTGAAATCATGGAGAATTAAATGCATGAGAAAATGACAAGTTAACTGCCAGCTAAGGTTTAGGGTTTTACACCAGCTTGAGACCTACAGTAGAGGAGTGTCGGGGCTCCCTTTTTGGGGGTTCCAAAAATGAGGTTTGCAGTATTCCGGGTCAATCTTGGTGTCCCCCAATTCATGAAAACTACTTCAGTGGAGAATTCTGCAGCCAACGCATAGAACACGATGCTTTGGGGACGGCGAAGTCCCCAACTACTGCGGAAGGACTCCTACGGCCGTCCTTGAAAGCTGGAATCATCTGTTACTGCAGGTTGCCAAGTAGGAAAGATTGCCCACTGCTTTTGAAAACTACTCTGTAATCTCTATAGTAGGCCATCTTCGGCCACAGGCCTAGCACCCCTCGACAAAGAGACAACCAAAGCAACCAAGGCCTACCACCCAATCCCCAAGCTTTAGATCATCATCTTCTAAATCTTACCCGAAATGATATACAGTTGTTTCCATTTTTCTTTTCCGCTCCCTTATATCTCCAAGTCCTGAACCCTGTCCCTGGGGTTCCTGCTAGTCTTCGTCCCTGAAGAGAGAATCGTACATGACCAGGGATCCTAATGACATATTCCAAAAAACATTCCTGAACTTACGCGGTGTTGAGCTCTCCTGGAATTGTAGTATATGAGGCCTATATTGGGCTGCCTATTTATGGAAACTGCCATATCTTGGTTGGCAGAGCCAGGTTGCGCTGCAAGCTGAGCATGCCTCAGGGTCTGTTACAGTCTTTGAAGCTTTTTGGGGGGGTATAGGGTGAGATAGGGTGGGGTGGGGTAGGTATGTAGGTAGGGTTGGCAGATAGGCAGCTGGGAAAGTGGTTTGTGAGTATACACTGAAATGCTGGACTAGAAGGTACTGTCAATGCTTACGGTTAGGGCTGGGTAAGTAAATTCCGAAACATGAATGAACCTTTTTTTTGGGGGGTGGCTCAACGCTTAGAAAAAGATTCACAAGGTTCTTTCAAGGATTGGAGGACATGTCCGTACATGTATATGTATCATTGAAGGCGCTCGAGGAGTTGTCACGGGATTCCAATTTTGTTGCCTTCTTATACGTAGCAATGTCCTTGCTACGGATGCCGGTCTCAATTCCCTCCCCTAAAGAACCCGCCCGCCTCATTTCATGCACCCAAGATGATACCATCTTTTAACAGGGGAATATTTTCTGTTGAGGCCGGATCGGATCACTGTTAGGAGAGTGGATTACTGCAAGCTCCAGACAGCCCTGAACTTATTCTCTCCGAGTTTTCCACACACAAAGATGAGGCATCATCTGGGATCTACGGCTTGGGTAATGTAGACAGCTACCACTCCCTATAGAAGATGATGCCCGGGGCTATCTTTTTCGGCCCCTACATGGGTTCGGATTTCCATAAGTGAAAACCCCCAAATAGACCCCAGTACAAAACAATTCTTGAAATACGAAACCCCGAAAGGCCGCTCATGTTTGTAAACCCCTATATGGCTTAGGATGCATGACCTAGCCTTTGCTGATTTGGGGTCAGGGGCTTGAAAAGGCCTGCGTCAGTACCCCCCAAGTCTAGTTCAAAGTTTGCAGTTGCTGGCTTGTGTTTCTGGGTCTTGCACAGTAGCGACAATGCCCAGATCCCGAACCTTAACCCTAATTGTGTCCCAATGGACCTTTTTGGGGTCCTGCCTCACAGGACTTGAGCATGACACGGGGGAGTTGCCATCTCGTGGTCATTGTTGTGTCTAACAGGGCTTTGGCGGGCTAAGCACTACTTTTTTTGAAGAGCTCCAGGCTCATCTTGGCCCAAAGGAAACATGGAACTCACAACATTCCTTGAAAATCCCAAATGCGATGACTTCTGAAGGTCAGTAATTTGATTGAACCCTACCGTCTGCCAGGCTGCCATACACGTAAAGCGTGTAGCTGCTGGCTGTAAACAAGACCACGAGCATCCCGCCGGTGATGGGAATGAAGTGCACCTGCCCAACAAGCTTCTCGCGTAGCTACCAAAGTTTCCCCAGGACATCCCGATGGATCCAAAACTGAGAGCAAATCACACACGCTGTTGAGCCGGCCTTCCCGAGACTGATCTGGTAGCTCATCAAGGTTTGCGAAAGAACCTTACGCGTGCCCAGGGGATGTTTCAGAGGGCTGCTGCTACCAGACGACCCATATTAACTGAAGGCTGGTGCCCGCAGAGGGTCATAGCAAAACTGAAGTCAAACGAGTCATAGTTGCACAGAGCTTGTAAGACCAAATCTTAAGCCTAGGATTACCTCTTACACTTGCGGCAAGGCAAGCCTCAAGCAAAGGGAAACCTTATCATAATTTCGCTCACTTCCATAATCCCATCGACTACCCTGAGGGACACTGGAGGCAAGTCAGGTACTATCGTACTACCATGGGTGGTCGCAAGAGATTAGGGCTCCTTTTGGGGGGGTTGTACAATAAGCATACAAGCTTTTGAGGGACCTTTAATTATGGAAACTCCCATCTCGCAAAAACGGCTGTCATCCCAGAGTACCTCGCAGTACGGCAGCACGTGGCAAGAGGCAAGCACTGTGCATTCCAACTCTGAGGAAATCCGGGGCCCTGGGCTTGGGCTTTGGGTTTGAGGGCTTATTCGTCAAGAAGTCACGGGTTGCTTGGAATGTAAACCCCCAGATAGCACGGAATTTTACAGTAACGAAGATTGATTTCAGTTAGGGATTACATAAGGGCTACTCGAAGGATTGTACTTCGCGTGTTGGAATATGTCCAGAACCTGCCACAGAACAAAAACAATATCTCTTGAATGTCTGCCTGATCTTGCGCAATTGAAGTTTGGTGGCTGTGCAGGAGTCAACCAGCGCTTGTCAACCTTCCAAAAACCTGTTTGAGCTGTAGAAAGATTGTTTAACCGCCTTTCCTCAAAACCGCTGATGTCATGTACCCCAACAAAATCAGATCAGCTGATTACCTACTCTGAAATAGAGACATTTCTTGTCTTGAAGTCTTGATATAGTGCGGTGTTGGCCCCGCAAAATCAATCAAGGTCTGGCTGGCTGGATGAATTGAAAATTCAAAAAAAAAAAAAAAAAAAGCACATGAGCAGAAGGCCCGCAAAACCCCTCCCTGGTGCAGAGTCGGGCGCTCCCGAAGCGTGATCAGAGAAGGGATCCTGATTCTAGGAGAAGCTACCATAAGAGTCTCTGGGCACCTTAATATTCTGCTCGAGGAAGTCCTGTCTAATCCTCACTACGTGAGGACCTTCCCTGACCCCTGCAGGACAAGTAGCAATCAACCCAGAGCACATCGCGACACTTGGCGTGCCTAAGGCTGTGCATCAGCATAGTTCGATCCAGGACTACTGCAGTCTACAGGGTTTGTAAGGAAAGGTTGCAAGTCCGGACTTTGCTGTCAGTAGCTGCGAGATTGATCTACTCACAAGAACAGAAATTGACAGGAAGAGAAATGAATTCCCAAAGTTGTAGGATTCAGGAGATTTTGAGGTTCCTGCGTCCTGCGTCTGAAACAATTGTCTGTTTTGAAAGGATTTTAGTGCAGCTTTGTGGCTTTACAGTCCATGGTGGTCAGGTTGAGGGTTGCAAGCATGTCCATGTTGAGATCTCTTGCCAGGCTTACCAATCTCTGTTGGCACTAGGGATCAGGAAATAAGCAAAAATTCGGCCCCAATGCCAGCAAAGGATGCACCAAGAAAAAGTTCGATCCACATGCAATTCTGAAATCCGCATTTTGAGAGCCCTACTTGTGGAAACATTCAGTATAACTTCGTGTGGAGCAGAATAAGAAGGGCAGTTGGCTTTGGCTACTTTGGGCTCATGTTTGCCGAGGGCTAGGGAATGTATAGACCTTACACATGCCTGTTCGAAAACCCTACATGAGCCATACATAGACGTTGAAAGTACATTCCTTATACCCCTTTTCAAAGAAATACACTCATGACTCCCATGTCTGTCTGGGAATTCTACTCAGGGAGGTGGGGCTCTGGTTCATGTTGATCAGAGCAGTCCGCCTAGTATCCTTGAAAATCTCACCTGTGTCCTCACAATGATAGGCATGAGAGTGGTGCTTGAGAATGCTTACCTTCGGCGGCTGTTTGCAATAGATTTCAACAAAAGAGCAGTACTTCCCCAATCTTCTGAAGTTGCCTGGCTTACTTTTGTGGCACCAATCAAGAGAGGCCGCGATGATAGCTTGACAAAAGATTACGAGAAAAATCAAATGTCACAGCTGCAGCTGCGATGCTGTAGAACACGTCCGCTTGCACAAGCGGATCTTTCGTAAACATGTCAACGCCTCAGTCAGCACTGCAGGCTTCAGATGCTTTCAACAGCTGGAGTCTCTCCCAGTACAGAGCCACCTCTCACCCTGAAGCCCAATTCAAGCTTGGAGTGGCAGGAGACCACCCAGGGGGGCGAGCGCAAAGGATTCAGCAAACACGGTTCGACACAAGCAACCGAGGCTTGTGCGAAATCGTAGGAAGGCCAACACACATCCTGCAACAGGGTGTCCAGGGTGGCTTTTGCAGTTTCAGCAAGTGTGAGGTTCGGGGAGTGTTTGGTGAGCGTTGTTTGGGGTGTGTTGCAGTCCAGTGGATGTATGGCGTCACTGTGCACACCCTTACAGAGCAGAACCCTAGGAATGCTCCAGTTCAACGCCCAAAAGAACAAAACAGCTTTGTAGAAACTCAGCAAGTGCTTCGCCAATGGAATATAATGATTTGGAGGTTGGACAACTGCTTGTGTGAGACAGCTTGGACTAACCGCGTCCAGAAGCAACAGTGGCAATATGTGAGAGTACTGTGAGAGTACTGTGAGAGTAGTAATAAATACAATAGTAGTATCAGTAATTATAATCATACGTAAGAATAGTAGGCATAATGAATGGGAGTAGCGTTGCTCTGAAAGTTGTTGCGTCATCACTACCATCAACCAAACATTCCCATTTTCAGGCAGAAGAAAGAGCAGCTGTCATATAGTAATGTACCCCTAAACCGAAATTTGAAAGCGCTAAGCCACTAACCTCTACCCCTTTGAAGCCGGCCTTACGCCACCCAGCCTGACTCTTCAAACCACTCTAAACCCCCTACCCCAACAAAGCCCCTAGACCACCCCAAACCCTGAACTTCCTCACGAACCCACGAAGCTTTCAATGGAGGACTCAGTTTTGGACCGTGGACCTGCGCTCAGGATGGAGAAGCACATCGAGACGGCTGAGATGACCGTGGCCTCGGCGGTCAGGACCGTGAGGTTTAGGGGTACCCAAAATGTTCTGGGGCTGGGGGCTCGAGGGCTTAGACGTCTATGAGCTTGAGGTGCCTGCGATTTCAGATCTAACTGCGCAAGGCTTTGAAGGTGCACTGTAGGGACCAGAATATTTGGAATTTGGCTTTGAGATAAGGATGCACTGTATGAGACTTCTTGGGGAATGGCATTTACATCATTCCAGCTTGTACCTCAACAGCTCAGAGGTTTGGAGCATTAGGGTTCCCGTCGACATACATACCCCTGGAGCAAGGGTAGGCTGCGAAACACTAGTCTCAGTAATTATTCTGATAGACTAACTATAGGGTACCACTTTGAAATCACTTGGGCATTCCCTACCTTCAAGCCAGCTGACTTGTACATGTCTGGCTTCGCCTCATTTGTACAACCTCTCCCAGCATCACATTCCCTAGGCACTACATGGAGATCCAGATGTGAACCTTCCCCACGACAATGATGACGTGCCCGTGTGACAGCATATAATTTCGGAAACCTCCTCAAGCAGCCAGAGCAACTCTCTCTCCAAACTTGGCATTGCCGACCCTTATTGTGGTAAAATAATCCTGCCATCTGCTGCCAGCAGGCAATATGTCTCCACTCTGCCCCCGTGAGGTCTTTGGACAGGAAGGTCTGGCCTGTTGCAGCAAAAGGGCATGCAAGGCACCAAGAAGTTAATCGTTCCAATACAACTCAACTGTTGCAAAGAAAAATTGCTATTTGCCCATATTCCGTTCTTCCATTCAAACTTCCCTGCTAACCTTAGTAAAATGCCGGCTCCACTTATGATGAGAATCTAGTGTGGGGCCCACTCAAAGTTCCCTCCCTCATGCCAAAACGATGAATTGTTGGAAAGGCTTATGCCCGCGATGCAAAGCCACCACATCCATTCAAAGCTAATAAGCTTCAACAGGCATTTGTAACTGTAGGTCAATTGACAGACTAGCGTTGCCAAGAAAAGCCTGTTTCTGCCGCTTAAACCATGAATCAAAGCTAGCAGGTTCTGTGAATCCTCAGCTCCACAAAGGCAGGCCCATACCTTTGATCATTAACTATCCCTAAACCAAGCCCGCCTGCCCACTCCATTGGCAAACTTAATGAGAGGCCAGCGATGCGCCATATCGCATCAAGAATCCTGCAATGCTTTTCAAGCAACTGCTGTTTCGAAAAACGACTTCAGTGACTTACACTACAAAAGTACTTGCACGGCTGTTGCTCTTGCTGAAGCCTGGATACGCATGTAACCCGCAGCGCCACACCGCCGCACTGCCGCCACAACCGCCACCGCCGCCGCCACTGCCCCCACCACCGCCCCCACCGCCACCCCCACCGCCACCCCCACCACCGCCCCCCTCCGCCACCCCCACCGCCACCCACCCCCATCCCCACCCCCATCCCCAACACCACCACCGCCGCCACCGCCGCCGCCGCCGCCGCCACCACCACCACCACCCGCTGCATTGACAAGGACGGCGACGGACTGCGACTGCTACTGCTTCTCATTCGACTTGTAACAGTAAAATGCTCCCCGAGCCCTCTCCTAGCGGAAAGCATGTCTGACACAGCACCGGCAATCAACAGCTGTCAGAGACTACATCACTTCTCATATCAAGACTCATCTGACAGTCCTACCAGCAAACCTTCAACCTCCCTTCCCCTTCGCGGTCTGGTGCGCGGCGCCCGAAGGGGTACCCATCTTTGAGGCCAGGCGTGTCTCCGAAATGATAATCATCAACAACGCCACTGCCTTGCAGCATTGGCGGTTTGGCAGTTTCGGAATGTGCCTTCATGTTTGTTGGATTCCTAGGTCAACAGGAGGCTGAACGGTTAGTAGGCAAGGCATCAAGGCGCCAGCAGGATATGAAATGATGCTTGTTAGGCATAAGAGTCCTCTCTTCAGTTCTCTCACTGCTCTCTCTGTATCTGGTCAGGACGGAGTACGACCTCAGACCTTTGTTGCTGCATGAGCCAGGTGCATTGCATTAAACCGACAACTAAAAACCTGAATTCCGGGGATATTCCAAATGCCAACAGTCCACATGGCACGTCACAATATGGAGCCAGAGTCCCAAACTTCACTGGAAGCTTTACGATACTCAATCGGAGCACTGAGTCCAGAAGCTTGAAGATTGCACGCCCAAGTTTCGCCACAAACATTGCAGCTGTCTCTCAGACTTAGGCTTCACGTCGGACTACTCGGACTCCCAGTGGCTGGGGCCCCGACGCTTAAAAAAAGGTTCAGGGCATACTTTGCAAAGTGCCTGCTTTCTCTCCTGGCAAGGCGACAACGTCAGGGCTGTATACCCACGACAGACATCCATTCAATCTGCAATCCCAAACATCCTTCATTACCCCCCCAATTCAAGGACGCGCAAAATGAGCCCTGCAAAAGCCCTGGCACCAAGAAAGTCCCATGCAACACTAAACGTTGGTGAAATCATTTCATCGACCGTTGAAGTACCATTGGCCCGGAAGCAGCCGAGCTTTAGAAACTCGTTCCCTGTACTGAAACGGTGCAAGCCACATTTTGTTCATATTACCGTCACTTCCGATGGGCCAACATGGTGCACCCGCTGACATTCCCTAATCTACGACAGTCCCCATGTTACGGACTCACTATGTTTTGGAAATCCGCATCACTATTGGCGACTCCTCCCCGGACACGGGAACTTCTTTGGCCAGAGTCCGGAGTTTCGCAAGCTCTGTAACGTGAAACCCGCAGCCACGGACCTTCATCACGGGCTTTGGGGCCACCGTGGCTAGCAGGCTAGGGAAAATCGAAGCTGAACTGATACAATATTCACTCTCTCTTCAGTTACTCTGGGAAAAAAATTGCCAGCAACAAGATATTTTGGTGGTCTCCAGTTATGTCAAGGTTAAAGGCTTGCTTGAATGTCCGGGCTTGTTGAAAGCTTTGCTCATGAGTTCTTGGCAGCTAGAATCTTAAAGTCTGAGGTCCCTGACACTTCTGCAGACACTCTCCTGAAGTCGCAGCATAGACATATACAAGAGAGAAGCGTATATCCCAATGCATTGCCCTCCCATGGCAATCAAAAAACAAGGTGCTCTTGGACCCTGGGGGTATCTGGAGATGACAAGATGATCCTTGAGGATTGCACGAGATTTCCACAGAGGGGTTGTCCAAATCGTGGTCCCTTTTAGCACAGTTCATCACGGACCACAAGAAGGGACCATTCTTTTTTGCACCTACTACATAGAGCTGTCCCTGATGTTGCGGGCTGGAGTGCGTGGCCACGTCCGTTGCCACGGCAGCTCCAAAGGCACCATATTTCCTTGGGCGCGAATAAGGCTTAGATGAGGAAGCTAGGAGGTACAGAGGGGCCTGTGAAGCACCTACTTCCTTGGATTCCATGCTGGCACCCTTTTGGGCCACCTACGCCTCCCCTGTAGAGAACTTAATTCTTTGACTTGGAAACCTGAGCCCGAAAATCCTGAATCAAACCCCTTAAACCCCTGACGCCCCTGGCCCCTTGAAGCTTGCAAACTTGCTCAACTGCACCTACGGTTTCCATGTTCTTCACCATTATCCCTATATAATCCCTATATAACCCTACATGACCCCACATAATCCCCCAGGCTCCAAGCTTCGGGCACAGGAGCAAGTCTCCAAGCACGTTGGTCACAAAGGCTATCCTTGGACAGGGCATTGGGGTTCAGCTCAGGATTTTTCTGTCGGAATGGAACAGAAAATCGAAACTACTGATTATCCTTGGGCGGGGTACTGCTTTGGAGGGCCCGTATCTGTGTGAGAACTTGGGAATTTCTCCAAACAATCCTCAAAGCAAGCGACCCTCCACAAAATCACTGTATTCAGCCTACAACTCTGAACAGGTGTCGAGGGCACCCTCTCTTGAGAAATCCCTTGTTGTCAAGGCCCGGAGCGCCTCTGCACTCCCTGAGAAAACTATGCCCTTCGTCAAGATCCTTATTGTGGGCGGAGTGCAGGCTTACCACTACATCTGCCTGAAAACATCTCCGAAGAAGAGCACTGTGTAGGGCTTCTTTCTACAGCCTATTGGGGTGGGACAGGAGGTGAAAGTTGAAAGTGCTGGGATGCAGCAGGTGAAACTCACCTTGGTTTGGTAAGTTGGGTCCAGCTAAATCCTAGACCCTACTGCTGAACTTTACACAGCATTTGCCAAGTCTGAATAGTCTGAATGAACCTGAAAACACATCCGAACAAGGTTGCCAGGAGCGGGTGCCCTTTGGCTACACTTGACTTCTCTGGGAGAGAATCACAACAACAAATTGACTACCAGGTATTGGCTTCTTTGTTGGGAGGGTTCTGCTGAGGTTCACTGACGCCACAAAGGGGGTCACAGAATCCTTCTCTGCCAGGCAAACCACATTGCAGCTGTCACGGACCTGGGCCCACTGCAGTGTTGCAAGTCTGCACATGGCATGATCCGCAATACTTGCAAACACATGTAGAAAAAACCTTTAGAAGGATCAAAAAAACGTGACGCCATCTGGGGCCTCTATGGATTTGCAAAAATAGCCCAAAAACCTACATACGGTAGTTGGACGTTGTTGCGCTTGTTTCTAGGTCGTACTAGCAGCGGCTAAGACATGGATAATGACTTGATGTAGCTTTCCTGCACTTATGTGACATGTACCCAGTTCCTGGCTGCCAAGAAGCCCTGCCCATGACCATAAAGAAAGCTCGTACCTGTGCCAGGTGGCCATGACCCCCTGTCTGGACGGGAGTGGCAGGTGCCAAAGGGGCCCTGCCGACTCCTGTTCAGCTTAAGACACATATAACCGCTGCCTGTGCCATACTCACGATCATCAGTCATGACCACGACCCCCTACTTCTTGATGCTTTCACAGCCCTAGCTACTGTACTTCCTAGAAAGCTATCAGCTTGTCGTGAGCTCATGCGGGAATTGCGCCTGCAGGTAGGCCATGGCATACGGGAACATCTCAGCACCTGGGCATACAGCCGTTCTTAGGCAGATAAAACAAATGCGGATTCCTTTTCTCGGGGTCACCATAACATGAATCGTACTGTTTGGGAGTATAAAGTGCTCTCAGTAGCTCGAGCTCGTGGATTTGTACGTGGCTGCCTGCGAACTAGCAACTGACCACTGACTACCATTGAGAACCCGAAGTGGCAAATTCTACAAAGGCTATCATGTTACAAGCTGCGGCAGCAGTAGAAGCATTGGTTTTCTGACATTCCCCCAATGTGATGTTACTGCGAATCAACCAAAAAAGTTGGGCTCACCTTGCATTGCTTGCCGCCTTGTGCTACAAAATCTGAAGAAACTACACAGGTCCTGCACAACCCTTCAAGTGAAAATGGCAAGGTCTACTTCGACCTCGCTGTCTGCCCCTGCTGATAGAAGGAGACACTCAAATCTCGAAATTTCTCCTAGTTGTGAAACTCCTGCCAGGACACCCCATACACCCCACTAATATGCAATTGCTTCCTCTCCAGTGTTGACACATTTCGGAAAACGCAGGTTCATCAAAACCGCAATACCCTGAAGGATTCTGCAGCTTTGCAGAGATTGCAACAGGGTCCCATCGCCCCTGTGCAAGCTAACTCTGCGTGCATGTGTGTTGCAATCTTTCCCTGTCACGCCATTTTTCCAAGACATTCACGGAAGCTCAGCGGAACATGCCTAGTGGCTAGCGCCAAACCATCGGACCGCTGCGGGAGCCATGACAAATGCGGCGATCCTTGAGGCTTGGGCTTGAGAGGCGAGTTTTGGGGTGGGGGCAACCCTAAATCCTAAGCCTCAGGGTGAGAGAAGGAGCTGTTTCGGGTGGTTTGAGGAGCACGGCTTCAGGATTGCTTTGTCTCGAAGCTTTGCGAGTTGCGTTTGAGGGGTCGAACGGATCAGATGGTGCGGGCCGTCATAGCATTTCAAACTGCAGAAGATCAACCTCATATCGGAAATCCTCAAATTCAGACGGCAGACTGCAGTAGGATGGTGACCTGGAAAATGCATAATTGCTCTTTGCCCACTAATTAGATTGCCAGAAATCATATGACACCTCTTGCCTGGAGGCCTGGCTGAGGTAGTGAACGCTCTATTGGCGACAAGGAACCCGCCAAACAGTCCGGCAGACGTCATGTAAACGAATCCGACTGCACCTACAGCGGCTGTTGCGAGAAGGGTCTGATGAAGGGTAGAACCTTTGGCTGGCTTTTGACCTAGGGCTCCAAAACATGGTGTGACGAGACCCAGGCATCTCATGCATCTCACAGCAGAAGATCAGCCGATCTTACACAGCATTGAAAAGCTATCCTCACATGTTCTCAGCATGTATAGCAGAAAACTAAAAGCGTGTGTGCCAAGGAGACTTGCAGAAAGAACGAGCAGGGTTAACATTCTTGAAAACGTCTGATTCCAGCCGCCTGTGGCACCACATCAAGAAACTGAACTTGAAAATATCTCAAGGCTTCAGTACCATGCCCTCTGTTAAGGGCCCAGCGAATCGAAGCTCTGCTCATATCCGCCTTGGTTGAATTCACAAGCTCCTGGCTGTTATAAGAAAAATTCTAGAGGATAGGCATGTCTTTGGCATCTTGGATGTGACCGTCTGCTTAGGTATTCAATATATTCAACTTGTGACTTGTTTCATTCCCCCCCCCCATCTCAAACGATCGCTTTGCACATACAGGGAAATGGGAGCTTCTCACTTTTTCCAGGCTTCGTAACGGGCTCCAGAATCCCCCAAAATCCCAATATATCGTTTTGGGCCCCACGTGGGGACCGCATTTTGCAAACTCCCAAGGCAGGGGCAGATGAAAAGCCTTTACAAAGGGCCTGCCAGGCCTTATGAACCTCTTAAACTAAATGTGTGGCGCTTCAAGGAACGCGGAATTCTCGGCCCTAACATGGGTGTCACTTTGGGTCCTTACATTCAGTCCCAGGACTCTGTTGGGATGATTCTTCGCTTTGGGGCCTCAATGACGAGAAAAATCACCTGGCATGAACCTTTCACACATCTTCTAAACAGCCTAGCTGCATGACGTAAAAACATGGCCCAAGGATTTACAAACTCAAATTAACCAGAACAACCCAAACCAAACCCCAAGAGTACAACTCTGGAAGCCTTGAGTAGACTGAACAAGGTCCAGTTATGCCCTTTCTCACCTAGGATGCCAGCGAGGTTCTGGAACATTGCCCAGCAAAGCCAGTTGGGCTCCGTTGATGGCCTGATCCGGTCGAGGCTTCTGCAGCTTTGCCGAAGTGAGGAATGCTTTGGCTGTTTTTTGGTAGCAGGCTTGCACGATCAAGGGTCTTTTGAGTATTGTATTCCCGGTGGTTGCCAGAGGCCAGTAGGAGAGCAGAGATGGGGAGTGCAATCAAGGTATTTTTCGACAGGTCTTAGGCTGCGCTCTAAAAACTGGATCTGAGTAATCAGGCCTTGGAAAACAGCTTGCAGGCAGGAGGATCTGCAGGTGTTAGGAGTCTAGAAGCACAGGATGTACAGATTAAGGTTTGCAACAGCAGCTTCCGGCAAGGCGCCCGAATCGTTTGCGTCCACATCTCGTAGACGGAAGACGCGGGCCCAATAGATGCCAGTTGCCTAGGCCGAGTTTGAAAAAAAAAGGAGACATGATGCCATGCTGAATTGGTTTTGGGGCCTTGATGATACAACGACAATGATGAGTATTATAATGCATAGGAGTTTGAGTCACCTCTCGGACCCAATATCAAAAAAACGCCAGGACGTAGTGAAAGCACTAGGGGGAGTACACAGAGGGAGGGAGCACTGCAAACACGCCTTTCCTACTCAGGACGCCGCAGGTAATCCGTGTCTGACATGTGAGCTGTACAGGTTACAAAGTGCCGCCCACGAGCAAACAGAATGAACACCTTTATCAGACAACCGATTGAAACAACTGGTTCCGTCCTGAAAAAAGCTGACCGTGTAGGCACATGCCAAAACTAGAAATCCCCTATATACTCCCATGCTAAGGCAAAAGCTTTTGGGGCCTCTGCTAATTCTTCAGGGATTGGCCTAAAGAAGCAAACCCAGATCCCGGCCTTCCTCCCTGCCAACATCCCTCCCACAATTGGTCCAACTGCATGCCTTGCTGCAGTGATGAGACATGGCCAACAAAGGCCTTGTCCACTGCTGTCCTCGGCTTCGGATGCATAGGGCCCTCAAGGCAAATGTGCAAGGAACACGAGCGCAGAATGTGCGTGATTCATCAAGCTCACACGATGTCTTGAGTGGATTCGACCCTGTAGGCATTAATACCTGGGACCCGGTGCAGGGACTTGGTGCACAGCAACTCCCCTCGAGGCCCCGTACCTTTTGGTTCATTTCAGCAATACGGGAGAGAGTCTCCAAACAATGGGATCCCTCAAAACCTCATACACTATCATCCTTATGATAGGAAACCCCAAAAACAGTAGTTAAAAAAAAAAAAACATATACCGCACGTCACGTCCCTCTGTGCAATCTGACGTGTATTCTTTCATGAAGTGCGCTTAGCCTCTGGGCTGACTGAGGGCTTGCACTTCAAGGCATCTCAGATAGAAGCACTCACCAATTCTTTGATTAAGTTGGCTGGATAGCTGAGGCTGCCTATTGAAGAAGTTTGGAAAAAGCCTCAAAGGAGCACAAGGAAGCAACATGCCTCGCTGTGCCAAACATGAGCAGTGAACGATCAGTGAGTTCTGGCAAGGGTCATGAGCGGAACAGCGCATGGCCTCTAAGCCGAACAAAACGACAGGTATAAAAACATGCTTAGCAACGTAAATCCAATAGCAACATGAAACATTAGTTGTAGTTGTACTGGATCTTTGGCTGAGCGTGTAGGACAACTACGCCTTTTCAGAAAAGACCTCCCACGGAGCGGCCACTGAACACCAAAAATCCACTTATAACTGAAACACCGGCTGGTGTCGGGACAGAGCCATGCGAGGTGATTAAAACTCCCCTTGCCTCTATGTGATGCAACCAGCTCTGGCTGAAAATGTGACCACATGGCAAAATTGCGTTCGCATACCCACATGAATTATGGATTGAGGCCCCGACGCTAAGCATCCCACCACAACCAAGAGGTATCCAGGAATCACGAAGAGAACAATGCGGCGAAACAGCTTTGCCTTGTGTTTTGTAGGTTCAGCTTATTTGGATGTGTGTCATACTGAAGGTGCCAGTTTTTGTCCAAAGGACCTCCACAATTGCCAAGACCATGACCTGAAGGCCTCCGGAATTTACGATGTAAACTACTCGAACTATTCCCACTTTTATTAGCACGTTCCTTGGCCAGGATGACTGCCTGAATCTGCGGGGAGTGGAAGCTGCACAATGCACCGTTCAATTGTCCAAGCCCCGCACCTTCTCTATATAACCCCTATGTGATCCCCATAGGAACGCTACGGTAAGTAACAGCCAATTTGACCACTGCTAAGATCTCCAAAGCGCGAACGCATTGAAGCCCACAAGCCAGAGCGACCCACCGAACCTTATGTTGCTACTACCTCAATGTTCGAACTATATTAAATTGCTACAGGAAAGCATGTCATGAACATCATTACCATATTGCTTCAGGCCTTCGTGGCCTGAGCCAACTTCTTATCCACGTCCTCCTCAGCAAGCAGTTTGGTTGAAAGTGTAGGGCTTGTAGTGTGACAGATGTTGCTTTCCCAAAAAAAAGGCCAGCGCAGCGGGAAACAACACACAGCCCTAAGAATTCAACTCATTAAAAATCCTAAAACTTGCAGCAACTGCTCAAGCTGTTCAAGTAGACTCTAGCCTCTAGCAGTAGCAAAGGGGAAGTCACGACGACAAGCGCTCACGACCCATGTCTAGATGCGGCACAGGTTCCATCCTGGCATATGCTTACGGGCAGGCTGCGTTCAGCATGTGAATCGGCGGCTGGCTTCTCAAAGCTCGCTGCCAAGCTAAGGGCTAAGATCAATTAATGTGTACTAAATGCAAGGTTTGAGGTGTTCATTGAGGAGGTTACTGAAGCCATTCTCAGGCGGGGTTTTACAGAAAACCCAGGGATGTGCGGTTTAGGCTGAGGAGTACGGAGAGCAAGATCCATGGCTCAGGATTGAAGATATGTCAGATAGGTAGGCGAGTAAGACCTCTACTTGCCAGAGAAGTCTCTTTTATGGTGGGGCGTCCAGGGTTTGAGTTTGAACCTCCGGGTCGTCTCTCCCTGTTACTGGAGTCTAATGCATAATCTGACCTGTACTGCCCTATGCCCACATCTAGCTGTTGCAGCTGGGGCATGAGAGCTTGACATGCATGGTGGCTGCCACCCGAGCATGTGATACAAGTACGTACACAATCCCTACATAGTCGTTTAAGAGCCTCTTGAATGCTGAGCTACGCCATCTTGGATACCTGCTCTGGTCGTAAAGAAGACACTTGCAACCATGAGACAGCAAGAAGACAGTTGTAAGCAAAGATCTTCATGCGAGCACTCTGCATGAGAGGCTCCGCAGCAAAGAACATGATAATGCTGTTGCTGATGATCATGATGGCAATGCTGGCAATGATAGGAACGCCGATGCATCAGAAGGCGTGGCATTTAAAGAAGCAAATCAGCAACAGATGCGCCGAACACTATGCACAGATGGCGACACCCATCCTGCTTCCTGAGAAAGTATTGGCAAGTATTCTCCATCTCCATGTAGGGGTCATTCTCAGGCAGCGACCTCCTCGACATAAGATGTGCAGCAACAGATTCCGTTCCCAACATGTTCACTCTGCCCAAAAATCCCATCTAGCGTCGCTGTTGCTAATGGGAGTTCAGAATCGCATCACTACAGCAATCTCCATATCAACCCCCATCATAATGCCTATGTTCAGCCCCCCCCCCCTCTCCCTCTCCCTAAAGCACCAGTAAGGAGATTGCTCTCTGCCACCATCCCACTGCCTCCATCCAAAGGCCCTGGTTAAATGCCTAACGTTCAGGTCAAAAGTTCAGGAAAATTTCTTGTAATTCTTGTACCGCGTAGAGCAAACCTGAAGCGCATTGGCTTTTCCACCGCGTGCCAGATGCCATCTCTTCTTGAACAAGCCTCAGCATTGAAGCTCTTACATTGAGATGCCTGCCTGATTACAATGCCGACACAAAAAAAGGTTCGGACTTCTACCACAAACATAAACTTCGGATTGGAAACGCGTTCTGCTGCTATCCATTCTGTTACGAATACTTCCTGGGTTGGCAGCTGACACAACAGAATGGCCCAATTAGCAACTGCAGCTTCTGAAATTAGGCAATAGAAAGGGACGATGCGTTTCAAGTGTCCATGTTGCCTTTGCACTTCAGAGACAAGGCCATGATGTTAAATCCGCTCTAGGCAATTTGGAAATAGCTGGGCCCAACCTCCAATGCTTCATGCAGTGGGTTCTAAAGGCTATCCAATAGAAAAGCACCAGAATGTCTCTTGCAGGAAACTTGGACCCCTGATAATCCTCAGCACGGACGCCCCAAAGAGGACCCCGTGGAATGTTCACGAGGCGTTGAATATACCAAAGTGTGAATTTCTTCCAGCAGCCCTGATGCTGAGAATCCTACAAGCCTGGCTATACAAGAACTCGTTTTGAGAACGTAGCCTCTTGGTACCGGGCAAGGAAATGACATGATTTCCACACATGTTGTTTCTGCCGACCACTAAGAGTCAATATGGGTACTTCCAAAAATAAGGGCCTCCCTGTCTCCCCTGTCTGCTCCGAAATTTCTTTAGTCCTTCTTCCAGTAAGTCCCAAAAATCTTGGAAACTCTCTCACGAACAGATAATACAGCGCAGATCTGCTTGTGGTCTCCAAACCGGGAGCAGCAGTTTGGAAGAACCCTCATTTCATCAAAAAGCAAAAAAACGGTCAAAGCCCTTAGAGGCTCCCGAGAATCATTCAAGGGATTGCTTCTTGGGAAGCTACTGCAATGGTGCCAAAGTCCCTAACCGTACATGCCCCTGCAAAACCCTTCCGGGAGATGCCAGACTACCCCCTTAAAATGCCTTGCGGATCTGCTGCTGAAGGGCAAGCTCAGCCAAAGAGGTCGAAGTCCATCTCTTCCTCCTCCTCTTCCTCCTCGACCTTCAAAAAAACTCATCCTTGAGTAGAGAGACTGCAAGGACAACTGCATGGACTCATTACTACTACGGTCCACAACGTTCGACAAAAAATCGTAGCAAGTGGAACTAGCTAGCAAAATTGGGAACGCTGGTTGTTCGGGTTGCTAGTCCAAATAGTGTTGATGCGGGCGATGCAAAGTATCGCCAGTCTCGCCGATATTACCAATAAATGAAGGAGTGGCGACAAAAAACCAAACAGCTCAAGTAGTTCGAGCTTCCCAAGTGGAGAGATCGCTCGGGCTTCTCAAAATCATGGTTCCTTTGGGGCAACCTTTCAAGACTAGAGGACATGTTGTGGAAATCATGACCGCCAGGAAAATCAAGAACCCAATTTTGCAAAACCTCCTGTTCATGTGGGAGTTGTGTGCAACAACTCTACACTAAAGTTTTGCAGCGACCCAGCACAATAAGCCGTCGGCAGCCCCCATAATTAGAAGCCCCGGTCAATCCCATTTACCCTCCAAGATTTTTCTGTAGAAACTAGAAACACCTGTCGATTCTGGACTCTGACACTTCAAATAGGGGATTATGAGGAGACTTCTATTTTCAGGCAAACGCGTTACTTTGTTTTGCTTCTTCCCCTTGCCCGATAAGCAGTCAAAAATTCTTCCATCCCACCTTTTTCTCCTCTTTCTTGGCCTCGCCACCACCTGCATTGCATCCGGCGGCAATGGAGCACCAGGGGTTTGTGTTGCGATGTGTTGCGCACAGTTAGCGTCAAAGGTTGAAAAAGGTTTGCTCCAGCTTCCATGTCCTGTTGCCCTGTGGTCATGTCCTGTTGCCGTGAGGATGCTACCACAGAGTAATATGCTCCTTTCGTCGTTTCCATTTTCTTTTCCATTATCCTAATATACCCCAATATATCCCCTATATAACCGCTATATACCCTATTATATGATAGTATGATATACACTTCTATAATCGTATATTGGAGTATTATTGGGGTTATATGGGCATAATGGAAAACAAAATGGAAACTACTATCATAGTATATTTGGTTTTATAGGGTTATAATTTCTGTCTACAAACACGGCATTTTTCTTAGAGGTGTCTCTATGCGCCCATTCATCACATGATCTCTAAGGCATCGGAAATCACGTCAAGGACAGCTGTGAGCCCCCTACCGTAAGCCTGGCCACCTGAACCCAATGCTCAACCTTCCGTACTGCTACTACCTTGACCTAGATACTGTAGAACAGCGATGAAGTTGATGATTGCTATAGCAGTTTGATTGTAAAGACAGATTACAGCCGCGGCATCTGTGCGAAGGAATCATTAGAATGTCGCATCCTGATAATCTGGAAGGGATGTTCATGTAACAGCAGCACATATCAAGTTCAGGAGTCAACCGAAGAACAACGGTAACCAATTTGAACCCCAAGCCCTGGGCACCGAATCAGGAAGATTGATGCCTCAACTTGCACCCTTCACCCTCGACCCCCCAACCCTAAATCCTTGACTTAACTCTGAACCCTACAACTTAACTATGCGTAAGCATACGCAGCCTGCGCCCGCATCTGCCGCAGCACCACCGCCCACAGCGGGGCCGCCGCCACCGCCACCGCCAAACTTCAGCATGCTATCCTTGCATGTGAATTCTGTGCTGCTGGGCTTTGCTTTCAAGCCTCCGAAAAAATCTCATGAATAGGTATACTACAACAAGAGACATGAATGACTATCCAAAGTTGCCACCTAGGCTACGACGTGGGCTTGCTCAGGCCTCTTGCACTAATACTCCGAGGAACCTAGCATAAGCAGGTGCTGTTTCTTGAGTTCTTTCTGAATGCGACGTGAGTGATGCTTATGATCACCTCCATTCCCCTTATCATGACAATTCAGTCTTCTCACAAATACCATTCCTGGCTTGGTTCCTGCAAGTCTGGCAATTGCCGCTAGTATCGCCATTCCTTTTATCAAACTTCGGTATCAGCGTTGCTGAATACAGGTCCATCATGTTTCCTGCAAGCCTTGGCTCTCCAAGCAACTAAAAAAAAATGTGGCTTCCTCGCACGCCCTTCCGTCAGAATGTGATCCTCATCCTGCAGATTCCCGGAAGCACCGCGAGATTTGTTTGAAAGATGAAGCCCGTTGGACCGGCAACCTTGGGACTTCGGAATTTAGGTCCTTGCAACTTCAGGCTACAAACAATCCCAACGACAAACTTCCAATGTTGAGGACTCTCTCTTCTTAGCACGGTCACATGTGCGTAGAGAGCCGCAACATGGCGACCCCTGTGCAATTTCCATTGCACAACCGCGTAACATTGACAATCGTCTTAACAAGTTATTGTAGGGGCTCAGATGAAAAAAAAGTTGTTTGGTGGACTCCTCCATATAATTCTACAGGGATTCTACGTGGAGAATATCCCGAACTCTATGGGCATTTCGTTACCCAAAAGCTGACAGGACACCAGATCCTTGCCCTGGCACAGCTTGGCAAACCTGAAGGACCGCAAGGTTTGAGCTATGTGAGCATATAAATTTTGGGTGAAGAGGAAGGTATAGGGGTGGTAACATGTGGGCATAGCGAGAAACACTTGTGCTACATATGATAGTGGGCATAAGAGACAGGAGGAGTATTGAGTGATTCTAACCTGGGCTTCCCTGTAGGTTTTGGGTGAAGAAGGGGGTTTGGGGAGTATAATTAGGTCGATATCGTGGGGATTTTGGATCATAAAACACATTGTAGTAGAAAGGGGTGTCTTATGGTATAGGGATACATGTGGGCCACTCATTCTGGTGAAGGGTTCACATGAGGACTCAAGATCAGCACATACAAAGAATGACTTCCCAAGAATTAGAGGCCTCATTTGGGGTTCGCGGCGTAAAGATCTCGGCACTGGGGCCCAGTCTTTCTGTAGCGCACATTATCCTGATGGAGTTGTAACCATGGCCCAAATCCTAAACTTTGAGATGCTCACGTCTTCTAGGACAGGTTCAACAGGGCGAGTTCCATTATATATATATATATATCAAAAATACATGTACCCACCCCACTCTTTAGAAAAAATCGTAGACAGCTTGCCAGCCCGGGGAGCAGGGCCGGGAAGAAGGAGTCAATGGAGCCACCAGAAGCCTGAGCTGATGAAATTTGTCACAGGAAATAATGGATAACCAAATGTACGGTCAAACGGAAATTCAAATCAAAAAACGGGAGTTGCCATACTATTGGGCTTCTACAGGGCTTCTACCTTCAAATAAATACGGATTTAGTCAATGGAACATTGGGCTCAGGGCTTTAGGGAATTAGGTTGGGGAAGTAGGGTTTCGGAAGTCGGATGGAGGGCTTAGGGCTTGAAGAATCTCCAGGTTAGAGAAGGTTTGAAGTTTTGGATTTGGGTTAAGAGTTCCAGGACCTTGTATCCATATTTCTCAACATTAGGATCAGGATCCTTCATGCAGGGACGCAGCATGCTTAAAGATGACCGCTACCATAACATTGGTGAAGTTGCATGTTCTGAACTGAACTCGCGACTCTGAGGATCCCTACGAAAATGCAACCCAAAGAATATTGAAACCCCCCTTACCCGGACTGCCGGGGGCTCTGGAAACACCGGATGGCTCTCATGGCTTAAACTTGCCTTGATGAGGGTGTTGATGTTATCCTCTGTGATGTCGAGCTCGCTGTCCTGGAATGGATCTCACTTGGAGGTGCAGATTGGAGACTTCGGGATTCAGGGCTAATTTTAGCCACTGATTGGTTAGAAGAATGGAGAATCAACTGGAAATAAGAATGGAAAATTACATGGACACATACTGCCCCCATAGGGGTATCATTGGTTCAAGAACTAAATCATAATTACACTCAACAACCAGGCGCGCCATGTGAGTTCTGTCAATTTTGGTGATGCAGTAGGGCCTCGGTGATTCAGGGATTATGAGGAGACAGTAGCAGGCTCGGGAGGGCAAATTGTGGTGATTGCACAAAGCAAGAAAATATGTTCAGTAAACGCCACGGCTACACCGGAGAATATCGTCGCACTCTACGCCGGGCATTATAATATTCTCATCTGGGGCATTTTGGGGTTGTGCAGCGCAAGCATTCCGCAAGGCTCCTCTGAAAGCCTGCTCGTGAGAAACTCGAATATCGTAGCTCCCAAAAATGAAGGAACGATGGGCATGCACATTGATAAATGCAGGTATGCATGTGAAAATGGAGCTTGGAGGAGTTCTGTGATCACCCTTCGGCTGAATGCTGAAATAAGGTTGGGCACCTTTCGACATATTAACCTGAATGTCTATGGTGAAACTCCGTATGGTAACGACATGCAACGACTACTACTGATGTTACTGCTGATACTTCTACTTCTGCCACTTCTTTGTCGCGTGGACCTCGGAACCTCCATGTTCTGTTCTGAGATGTCCTTCAGGATCATCGCTGCATAAGCGCAGAAGAGCTCGTCCTTCTCGGCCTTGAAAAATCTTCTGAAGCTTTCAGGAAGGAGGTCTTGGCCCAGAACAGAAAGGTTGGCTTAAGAACCAAAGCAAAGTTGTTGTTGTTTACCATTTCTGTCGTAATGATAAGCATGATTGCCAAAGCCCTCCTACCAAGTCCCTGCACAATGCTAAATGAGCTCATCAAGCAGGAGGCCAAGCCCTTCCCCTCGCAGGGAATGTTGAAAGCCGCGTTTTTGTGCCATTATTTGCCCAAAAAAATCCTTGAAATTAATCAGGCACCACTGAGTCGCTACTGCAAAATCTTTCCCTGACCCATACCCTGTCTGCTTCTCTACATTTCCAAGCCCCTAATTGCCCCAAAACCCTGTGAACCTTCACAGACCCCACAACCTCTTGCAAGATTGCACAGGGATCTTATAAATCTTCACCCTCTCCTTCCAGCAGATACTTCCCGCAATTTTAAGCCACAAAATCCATACTTCAAATCTCTGGACCTCAACCCCTCACCCCAAACTCCAGATCAAAAAAATGTCCACCCTGAATCCTAGAACCTCCAAAGCCTTGATCCAGTTTCCCCGCCTGGGGCACCTCGGCTGCAGGAACTTCCGCCATGGCTACGGAGGGGCGAACCGGAGCAACCGACACTTCGAACCGCTGCGGGCACGAAAGTTTTCAGGTTCATCGTTCGCGGACGTTAGGTCTTAGGATCTGCGGAGTTTAGCTGTCATAGGTTTTGGGGCACCTAAGGCCGTAAGGAATTGCAAATGTTTTCTGATCATACATTTAGGGTAGCCACGCTCTAGAGGATATACATTCTGTGTGTAGAAACCCTAGGACCAATTAGAGAGTTTCCTCTTTCGGATCATAGAATTGATTGTTTACAGGTGGGGTTCCGAAAATTTGGTACCTTTTGGGGAGTCGCCATAATCAGGAGAAAACTGTTTTGGGGTCTATATTGAGGTTCCTCTATTTATGGAAACTACCATATTGATACACAGGGTTCAGAGATGAGGATTCAGGGATAGACCCGCAACCCTAAACCTTTGGACATTGACTTGATGGTTCACAAAGGGGAGCGGAGTGGAACATAGTACCCTATACTAATTTGTAGCAGCATTCACTCCCCCTAAGCACAAGCAAATGGACGACAGTAAGTCTTCGTCAAGTTTTGCAAACATAAGCTCAGGGATTTCAAGCTCAGGGCCTTGACACCTCTGAATACTGGGAAATGACCGGGAATCAAAGTGGGTAGTGCGTTGGAAGTATAAGTTTTCCGGGGGGGTGAAGGTAAGTGTGGTGCAAACAGGAGCTTCATCGTCTTCAGGCGTCTAATCAATAAAATATGCTTCGTAGGTCCACACCGCGCAAGGAGAGATCACTTTGGTCTAAGTTTGTACTAACAACACACTTAGACTATGTAAGCATTTGTCACACAGGGAGTCCCTTCGTGAACTCGGCATGTTTGGAGTCTTGTGCTCTTGAAGCCCGCGTCTCAGATCAAGATTCGAAACAAACAGCCCGTCATCTAGCATCCTGTATGCTAGTCCAGCCTCGCTGTACCACAAGACGGGCACGAAGCATGCTTGCCAAATACCTGCAGTTGTTATCCCAAACAAGATATGAGATAACTCATGAAATTCTCTGAGTGTCTCCATGATCCTACCCCACGCTTGGGGGCCAGGGTCGTAGGTTTTGACATTTATGGGGGTTTGGGAATCAGGATTTGGTGGCTTGGGCGTTCAGAAGCTCGAGATTTTGACTTTGCACGTTTAGAGTTTAAGGTTCACCGGGTTGAGGGTTTCGGGGTTCATCATGGCCTTGCTGTCTCAGGATAGATCGGATAAACTTGAACTTTAGCGACTACCCATGCCGACCACATGATATTACTGGTAGTTTGAGAAAAGGGGTCTGGATGTAGGATTTGAGGGTTCCGGGAGAGCTTAAAAATGATGGTAGCTAAGGCCTTATAGTACTGGTGGCAACGGTTAGCCAACAATCCAAAGCCTTCAAAATTTGATGCAGAAATCTGAACCTCGGACCTCACATCCCTCTTTCCGAGCCCCGACAGTAACCACCCAAGGGCACCATGCTCTTGTTGTTGATGCAGCCTTCGTTAGGACCTCACTGCCAGCAACAGAATGTTCAGGAGTTCGGAGCCAAGAGCTCTTCAAATGCCCACTTTAAAATCTTGGCGTGAGCTCAATGGTGAAAACGGGCAGACTGCAGCTTAAACGTGCATGGGTAGCAACCGCAATTCAACGTGGTAATGATGAGCATGATGCTATGAAATGTTATGCTGCAGCCCTCAGGATTGGAGCAGCTTCTTGGGAAGGACAACCATGTATATAGCCTTAAGAGAAACGACCGACTCCACTTTTGCCGAAGATCGGAGCAAACACACTGTCTGTCCCATCATCGCTAGTCGAACTGAAGTACATACTGCACCAGGAATGGCATTCATGTACAGGCTTAGCAAGTAGCGCGGCGCTTTGGGTGTCTTACTCATCAGGCTTCAGAGTCTAATAACTACATCCCATGCAAACCGCTATATCAGTCGAATTTCAAGCTCATCTTCCATTCTTCCATTTTGGATTCCTTTCCATTCAATTTCAAGCCTTGGTAATTATGCAGTAACATCTTTCTTGCCAGCTTCAGCCTACCTCTGTCTCACACAACCGCCACCTCAGAGCCCCCTGGAAAATGTAACTTTTGGCTCGGCAAAATCATGGCTTAGTCTTCTCCCTTACTATTTAAACCCCCCACTGCGCAACACTACACATTCCCTACTCTACAATACTTGGGGAGGCTGCGTCTTAGGGTAAGGGGACTGTCGCTGCCCTCCCCCCCCCCGCACGTGTTGGAGTTTCTTAGAAAAACTAAAGGATCCGTACGCGGGCCCTCATAATCCCTTGCTAATGCGCAGCTACCTATTAAAATCCCGAAAAACCCTCTGTTCTGCAAAATGTCTGAGGCTGCTGACATGAAAGCTTCTAAAAAAGATATGTTCTTGTAGGGGTACCCCTTCTCTACTTGGAGGGTCGCGAGAATGTAGTAAATAGGTTCTTGCAGGAGATAAGTCCCTCCATGCCTTATAGGGTGTGTAAAGGCCTATCCTGGAAGCCATCGGAAGGCACAACAAAGCTCAACAATCGAAGTTCAACGCTGCAAGCACGGGATTGTGAAGCGGAATGTCCAACGATCAGCAGCCCCCATAAGGAGAATCAAAAAAAGGGAGCCAAAGGTTTGAAAAACTCCCCAAGTCTTGAACATTCCTGCTCCGTTTCGGACACAATCTGAACCAAAGACGTCAGACTCCCAAGCACAACTGGCCTAGGACCACAAATCCAGCCCTGCAGATTCCTGACCATTCCAACAACCTGAATCCCACTGCTATGGGGGTTTGTCCAAATAAGGGCCGCAAGGATACAGGGACGATATATAGGATTATGAGGGTCGCCCTCAAGGATTGAAACTGCATCACACAGGGCCCTCATGTCCAAGCACCGCACACTGCCAGTCATTTGGACCATCCAAGGTGCCCCCCTGTGACATAGTGCTTGTTGTGATTGCAGCGGGCTGTTGTGGGTTTCGGCAGTTTTGGATAGTTTCCTTTGCAAAGGGATTGTTGCTGGGGTTGCATGCAGATGATGTCTGGATCAAGTTACCACTGCATTTTTGATTGACGCCTGTGTCGGGATGACTTCAGTGTGCTGCAGAATCCCCGCCTTCCATCAGGACATCCTGAGACTAAGGATTCCAGGAACAAGGGGTAGAATGGGGGCAGCTTTAATTCTGAACGCGCCGTAGAAATCTGAAGAACTGAGGAAGGTATTGTCCCCTCAACGAATCTTCCTTCTCGCAATTTGACCAACTCCAGGTGCTTTTTGGGGAACCCAAAAGCGAAAGCTCGGGTTTTTCCGCACTCTATGGAGATCCAGGAGGGTCACATGGCATTTCGCCTCTGGAACTGCGACGTCTGTGAGACATGCACTCCAGGAGTTGAAATTTGACGTTCAAGGCTTGACCTAACCTCAGGCAGTCAGGAATAGCAAGCACAGCCGGGAAAGCGAGTCTAGGCATGAGGGCACCAGGGCATTTCGAAAGCAATAGCAAAACGGAGATGGAGCAGCAGCAGCACAAAATTCGAGTAGTGTCCTTTTCATTGTCGCTCTAGCTTTACCTGGGGCTCGTAACAAGTGAGCTTTAAAAAGAGTTTTTAGGGCAACATCAAAGCCATCAGCAACAGCAGCAACGACGAGACCATAAGATACATACAAGGATATTCTCATTGACATGGCTTCTTCTACAAGTTCCGGTAGCACAAGCTTGGCCCAACTCCCCACAGACAACATTTGAGCCAACTAGAAGCCAAACATTCAGAAACACTGAAATTTGACTTGAAAACCAGGCCATAAGCATCTGGATGATCAGGCGAAACAGACACCAAAAGCCCTACAAAAGCCTTGTATGGTAGTTTCCGCAAATCAGGGCAGATACTACGATCCTTATTTTTGGCAACCCAACATGGCATCTCTAATTTTCGGAAGCTCCGTGATCCGAGTTCCCATTTCATTGTCCATGTGCTTTTCCATTGTATTCTCCACTAGTAGTATATCCTTACACAATCTGTTTAAAAAGGCTTCTTCTAAGTCCAGTTGGTTTCGCGCCTGGCCGGACATTGCCATGGCCTGAGCAAGAGCACAGACAAAGTCGGGAGGGGGGATATATGGGGTTACAGCAAATAGAGCTAATGGAGAAAAATAGGAGACTGCTGTTTAGAGCTTAGCTGGTTTGTCCAAATTCCTCAGACTTCTGCAGATGGTAAATGTTACACGGACAACGTTGTATTGCTAGATGAGACCCCAAGGCTTCATCTTCTGAGGAACATCAAATGCAAAGAACAAAACCTGGTTGCTTTGGGTTCCCTTGAGAAGGTCCGATCTCCAAGAACAAAGATTTTTGAGACCACAAGTCAGTCTCAAGAATGAACATCTCTGATTCATTGTTGGCATGGTTACCATTGGCCACAGTGGGGAGATTGCTGTCATGTGAGGTCTCGCTCTGAATATCCAACCCTGGAAATCCGAAGCTTCAAAAAACGCAACATCTCACCCACAGCCTTCAACAAAGAACCCTAAAGCCCTGGCCCTCACCATCGTCAGTCTAGCTAGCGGTGCTGGTCGCCGTATGATTGCAATGGCCACGTGCTTGAGGGTGCTCATGCCAAACTCACAAGGTTCTTTGCAGGTGCCACTGTTTTTCTTGTTATTGCTCTTGGTGCTCTCGTACCAGGCTTTGCATGATTGATGTTATGGTTCGTGCTATCAGCACTCCGACAAGGACCATTTGTTGTCATCCTGTTTCTTTTTCTCACCCATCACCTCACGGGCTTTCCAACCGTGAGTACGCTTATTGTCAGTTACATGTCTAGTCTCCCTATCCTGCAAAATAGGCACCAGCCCTGAACACTTCCAACTCACAAGATCTGCAACCATCTGGTTCCACGCTGAGGATACCATTACATGTTATGCTTGTCTGTTCCTCCTTGGGTTTAGTAGACCAAGGTCTGAAAACGATTTGGGTCCGTGACCTGATCATCATCACTCTACATC